ACATCTTAAGAGGCTTAGTAGAGAAGAACTACAAAAACTATTTCAAAGGGTCAGAGACAAGGACTTAGAAATAAAAATCTAAAGATGCATTTGAAGAAAATAAAGAGTTGTATAGTGGTACACCTCACACTGTCAAAGTTGAGTAGTGAGAGAATACCCAGATGCTGGTTTTTTGGTTGTTGTTTGCCAAAAAGAAAAGTAAAATAGATCAAGTCATCAACATGAGGGGCTTGGGGTAGCTTGAAGGGCCAACAGTTCCACACTGATGGTTGTTGGTATTAACAGTCCCTGGAACTGGACTACACTGGGGTCAGATCATCTGTGCTGGCATCCCTCCTACAGAAGGCTTGTTTTTTTGAGAGCCGTAGGATGGGAAACATTCTCTTGACAGAATCAAACCTTTGGCAAGCTCCATGCAAATTTCATGCCACTCTTTCAGGTATTTATGTCTTTTGAAAATTTGTTATGGTTTTCTACTCTGTCCATTAATCATTTAGTGAAAATGCTTTGGCTTAGCTCATTTGGTGGCTCATTCTTCAGTCAAGAATGAACATACAGTCTCTCACTATTATCCACTAATTTGACTATAGTTGTCTATTCAGTCTTTTGTCTATGCAGGGTCATTTATCTAAAAATGGACTGACTTTTGGATTCACTTATTCTTTGTAGTTCTCCTTCAGTTTTTATTTTTTATTTATTCATTTGTATTTTTTTTGGGAACACACCTGATGGTGCTTGAGGGACCATGTGGTTGGGGATTGAAACCAGGTCTCCCACATGCCACCCGTGTGCTCAGTCTGTGGAGCTTTCTCTCTGATGCCTCTTAAACTTTTTCTTGAAAGTAAACTCACTTGTCAGTTTAAATACCGCTGTTGAATTTAGGTAGTTCTGAGCAAGGATCCTGTGTATGAGGAGGGTATATAAAGTGACCATAAGCACAATGGGTGGAGTGGGTGGGGTCTCTGTGATTTCCATGGCAGGCAAGTGCACTGATGCTTTCCACAGCTGTCACGTTCTGCTAAAGCCACAGCTGTGCAGTTTCAAAGCTCTTATAGATGTGGAAAAAATGACTGTGGTCATGTAATGGAGTCTGGCTGGCTAGGGAGTGTCCTTTATTGCTCCTATTTTTTTCTATGCATTTCTAAGAACATGAAGAGGTGAGAATAAATAAAATTACTAAGATATAGATGCAAGGAGCTAGACTTAAATACACAGGTGTATGTTATCCTTCTTTCCCAAGGGCTTTGTGAGAAGGAAAATCTTTTCAAAATCTGGAACCATGTAAAGGCTCTTGTAATTGGTTAGAAAAAAAGCTTGGTATTGTAAATATTTTAAAGTATACAGGCGTATATTTCAGAATGACATTTGCTTCCTTGGGATTCCTAGAAAAAGTAAATTAATCTATTTTTTCCTCTTTCCTTTTACCCTATTATTCCTATCTTTACTTCTCTCTCTCTCTCTCTCTCTCTCTCTCTCTCTCTCTCTCTCTCTCTCTCTCTCCCCTTAACTTTTTTATCGAATCACTGTGAGATAGACCATCACAAAACTGTTCATGATTGGATTTCAGTCATACAGTGTTCCAACACCCACCCTCCACCAGTGTACATTTCCCAGCACCAGTGTCCCCAGGTTCCCTCCCATCACCCCCACCCCCATGCCTGCCTCTATGGCAGACATCTCTCTCTCTCTCTCTCTCTCTCTTCCTCTCTCTTTTAGAGCATTGCGGTTTGCAATATTGATACTGAAAGTGTTAACTCTCTCTTAATGACAGGCTGTTATCTACTAATTGAAGACAATATTGCCAAGGGAGGTATAGACGTGAGGATGTGTCTTTTGGAAACCTGAAGCCAGGTGGTTATATAAGAACTGGTTTAGTAAGAACAAGCATCAGTTTCTATAATGAGCTTTTAGGAGACCGTTGATTTTTTCCAGAAATCACCCTGAGAATAGTTTTTACTTTTACTTTTTCTGAAACAGTTGCCCCTGATAAACACAGCCACTTAATTACTGAACCAACAATCTGCTCAGGAGCAAGCTTCCTCATAATCCTCCCTATCTCTCTCCTCTCTCTCTCCCTCTCTCCCTCCCTTCCTTGTCTCCCCTCTCCCCCCCAAAGAAAGCACACTAAAACTTTCTGAAATTCTTGTATGCAAAAAGATTACCAGACCCAGGTCAGATACTTTGACCCAATAATTCTGGCAGAACACTTAACAGAAGTCCTGCCTTCTCTGCCTTTCTGTTTCCATCTGTGGCCACTTCTTTGCTGGGAGAGGGGCTTCCCTTTAGGTCTCATTTTCTATCTCCTTACACCTCCTATCATCCTGCATAGGAGCTGAAGAGCTGTGAGCAATGAAAGGGAGTTTGTCAATTTTCTCCCTGCCCAGGAGTGGATGTATGTTCACAGGATCAAATATCTCATGAACAAGCCAGCTGCATTTTGCTGCAAGGAATCCAAACTACCTGATTTATGTTTTCCCTGGAAAATCAATTCTAACAGCCCCTGTCAGGTGACACCTGTTAAGAAGCCTTACATTTTCCCTGAATATGGAAAAATTCCTGCCTCTTTTTATAACAGCAGAGGATCTTGCTGATTCAGTTTACTGCTTCATCTCTGCACTTGTGCTGTGTGACTTCCTCCCAGCTCAGATTACACGTCAAACACAATCTCATCTCTGGCTTCAGTTCTTTAGCAGCTACTGGGGCTCAGAGGACAGCTGGACAGAGCATGCGCATTCTCAGATTCAGTTTAAAGGGATCTCTTCAAGCATTATTTATTATTTTTTTTGGAGTGGCATGCCCAGTGATGCTCAGGGGTTACTCTTGGCTCTCAATCAGTACTTACTCCTGGTGGTACTTGGGGATCCATATGGGATGCCAGAGATGGAACCCAGGTCAGCTGTGTGCAAGGCAAGTACCCTTGTACTCTCTCTGTTTCTCTGGCTCTTTTTGGAGCATTCCTATGTGAGCTACATTGTTTTCCTTTCTTTTTTCTTCTTCTTTTTTTTTGCTGTTTGGGTCACACCCGGGGATGTACAGGGGTCACTCCTGGCTCATGCACTCAGGAATTACTCTTGGCGCTGCTCGGGGTACCATGTGGGATGCTGGGAATCGAACCCGGGTCTGATGTGCACAAGGCAAATGCTCTACCCGCTGTACTATTGCTCCAACCCCTACATTGTTCTCCTTTCCTGAGGCTGCCTAGAGTTCAGGGAAGGTACTCACAAGTAGGAACTGTTGAATCATTTTCTACAGATTGTTTCATTTAGATTGAAGAGGAAGAAGTTGACTCCTGATTTTTTTTTGGGGGGGGTCTATTTTTTTGCCACACCCTGAAGTGCTCATGGCTTACTTCTTGCTCTGTGCTTAGGATCACTCCTGGTGGTGCTTTGCTAGGGACTGAACCCAGGTAAGGCACATGCCCTATTGTTTTGGCCCATTTGAGAAAAATGTTTAAAAAATGTTCTGGGCTCACAACTGGCTTTATGAGACTACTCTGTGCTCAGGGGACCATGGAGAGCTGGAGGCCAAACCCAGCTGGCGAAGCCTGTGTTCAGCCTACAGAGCTTTCTTTCTGGCCTTCTGGAAATTTTGATGTTACTTTACACTCTTCAGCCAGGAAGCACAGAGATACACAAAGAGAGTATCTGCCATATAAAATTCCCCAACCTCCTTGTTCATTTCTGTTGTGTATTCTTTTTTTCTATAGCAGAATTAGGGAGATAGCAGGCCATTTCAAGTCAGAGTGTGACTGGGTCAGAGGGCAAAGGTGTGAGTGTGTATATGTGTGTCTGTGTGTGTGTGTGCATGTGTGTGCATCCTCATTCAGTGCCAATACACACATTTATAGATGCATAAGTACAGGCATGCAGGGAAGGTTGGTCAAAGGACCTACTCAGAACACCATCAGGGGGATCTGTTTTCTTATAATGATGTTAATGATTTGGATATTGTAAAAGGCTCACTATTGCCTAATAGATACATTTTCCTGAATTTACACTAGCTGCATTTGCTCCCTTTCAAGTAATCCCTGGGATGAACAACCAGAGGTTTAAACAACTTCTTTTTACCAATTCTCCTTTGTTCTAAAGAAGAAGCATACATTCTTGCCTTTGTACAAATCCCTGTGTGGTGAATGAGATGCACCTCTCATTCAATGGTGTTTTTCAGTTGTTTCTCGCTTACAACTGAAAAATGTTATTTTGCCAAATTGGTTAGAATTGAAAGAGAGTCTTCTGGGTTTAGCCCCATGGGTTTCTTGTTATCCCAGGGGGCTCCCCTTATCTGTGCTCTTGGTGTTTGGGTGAAGAGCAAGGAGAGGCCCTGCCAGTCATGGTCCTGCTTGTGGGGAGTCAGCTCAGATTTTGTGGAAGGATTTCTGGGCCCCATCAAGAGTTCTCACTTCTCTTCCCTCTCTTCAGTGATGTGGTTGCATTCTGGTTTCCTGTGTAAGGAGTGTGTGCTCACACCCATTTCCTAGCACACAGTGGCACCACCAAAGGCTGGAGACAAGGACCTAGGAGCTCAAGTCGAGATGGTGACATTTGCTGATGTTGATGTAGGATTTAGGATGGATACAGAAGAATGAGCTGAACTCCAGTTACTTTTCCCACTGATTGCAAGGAAAGCATGCAGTGTGTGTGTGTGTGTGTGTGTGTGTGTGTATGTGTGTGTGTGTGTGTGTGTGTGAAGGTGGTCTTCTGGCAGTGCTCAGGGGCCCAGGGGGCCTTCCATGATATACTCTCCACTTGGGTTGCTTGGACCCAGCAGTGTTTGTGGTACCTGGTGGATCTGAGGTGCCAGTTATTGAATATGGGGGTCTCAGTATATCTCCAAAACCTGCACACCAGCCATTTGAGCTCTCACCCAGCCTAGGGAAGCATGTCATGAGGAAATGAAAAATGCCATGTGTATATGGATTTTTGTTCATCAATTTTGTTTATTTACTTGTACCTGACCACTTCTTGTCTCCCTCTACTGGTTTTATTTTGTATTGATGCAGACCTCAGAATTCGCACAAGGTCTCAAATGGAACCTGCAGGGCACTGAAAAAATCGATGAAATGAAAAGTGCTCATGAACACTAAGCAAAATCAGAACTCAAAACCTTAGAGTGATTGGCTTAAAGCCAGTAAGAAAGAGCTGTGAAGAAACATCTTTGAGGAGAGTCCCACAGGAAGTCCAAGGCAAAGAGAGACATGAATGTTGCATGAACTTTAACCAAATCCTGGTCCTGACATGGCTCAACAGAGACCTCTGAAACCTTTCCAGGGGTTGCCTTAGTGCGCAATACCTTTCTAGACACTGCCAAGTTTTACTCACCAGACTCAAACTCAGTTCAATTGTAGTGGAGAAATAATGCTTTTTTCCATCATCAATGCTTTCCTGACCACACTGGAAGCTGTCTTAAAGAACTATGCCCTTCCATTCTCAGCAGGGGGCACGTGCCACTGAACCCTTTTTCTGGCTGGTGTTTCTTCTTATAGACCCAGGCTCTCTTGGCAGGCATTTCGATTATATCTGAGCCCTTGGCATGAGAATACATCTAAATGACAAGCACAGCTAAACTTGACCCCCTTCCTTTGATGATAATGGGTCATGCATTGGAACAAGATAGGTTCAGTTTATATAGTCTTGCTGTCCTAGAAGAGTGCTAATTTGGTTTTCAGTCATATATTCTACTTGCATGCTGGGGCAATATATATATATATTTTAAAAAACACCCAAAGAATTAATCCTGGACACCTTTCCCTGCCCTCCAACCAATGTCACCCATTCTGGTTTTACTTGTCTGTTCCAAGTACTCCTATGGGTTTCAGTTAGTGTATCTTAGTAGGAAGGGCCAAATAACCTTTCCTGGTAGCCTTGTAGAGTGTTGGAGGGCTTAACTCAGGACCCCCACAGAAATTCCCTTCCAAGTCCTCCCTGCTACAACCTATTTTCTCTAAAACATTCATTTTATCAGGCAGCATCCCAGTAAGTCCAAGGTCGACTGGAAGTCATGGCAATGATTCTCTTAGTTCACCTATTGCATTTAAGCAGTAAAGCTCAGACCGAAGATTGATACCCCTCTTCAAATAGGTACTATAAATATACTAGAGCTATCCCTGAAAAGATGCATTTGTGTATATATATATATATTTCTGATTTTATATATATATATAATTTACTTTTTTGTTCGTATACAGGTATGTATTACTCTATAGGTAAAGAAGAAGAGGTATAAATACAGGAGCAGGCAAGGATGGGTTCATGTGCATCTATTTATAATATGTATATTTTATATGTATCGCCTCTGTCATTGTTTGCATAATTACAACAAATGTACCTCCGACCAGCGAGGAGTACCTGTCAGTGGTGATGGAGAGTAGCTCCAAATGCATGGTTCTCTTTGTCTCTTGCATGAAGCTGTTTCAGCAGGCAAAGGTAGAAGCAGCCTGGGAGATGGGTGAGTGCACCCCACCTGGAGCCCACCGAGGAGGGCTTCGAGCCAGCTGCCTCCTCTTCTGAGGACAAGGAGCCTAAAACCCAGAGTGGCAAGGGCCACCCATGCTGTTAGTTCAAGATATGGCTATTCCTGCTAGATGGACACAGGGCACACAAGAATTCTGTCTTCCAGGAGGACGCTGACCACCAGGAACACGAAATAGAGGAAGAACATGGTGAAGCCCAGCACTTTGTTCATCCGCCACTTGCAGAGGGCAATGGAGAGGATGACGAAGAGCAGCATGATGAAGAGGAGGACAATGGCGCAGAAGAGGCCATTGCTGCTGACGGCCACTGGTTTGAATCGGTGAATGAAGGTGTACAGAAGCCAGGGCAATGGGAGCCTGTGAGGGAGAAAGGCAAAGAGAGGGGGAAGTCACATCAGGACTACAGTGAGACAGAAGGAAGCAGCAGCAGAAAACCCAGTGTTACCTTTTTGGCCTCAATACCCCGTGAAAGGTGTCTGGTTAGGTTTGCTATTATGGATTTAGTTGGCCCAGGACATCACATGAAAGAGGCAGATTTGGGGGATGGAGAGATAGTACAGTGGGTGCTTACCTTGAATGCGGCCAGTCTGGGTTCAACCTCCAGTACCACTGAGCACTGCCCCAAGTGATCCTTGAACTCAGAGCAAGGAATAAGCCCTGAATACATAAAACTATGGCTCCCAAGCCAAACAAAGAAAAGTTCAGGTTTGTCTTGACTGATCCCAGTTTTATCCCTGATACTCCATGATTCCCTGAGAACCATCCACAGAAGGACCTGCTGAGCAGAGAGCAAGGAGTAGCCCCCAGGACTGCCCGATTCATCCCTCCGCTCCTCCTCCATATCCCAAACAGGCAAACAATAAACAAAAAACCCTTCCTCTATTCACTGAATGAATCAGAACAGAGACGGAATGAATCCTCATATGAGGATGTGGCTATAGGGAGACAGAGAACAGCAGTGGCCTAATCAACAGTCTGAAAGCAAGTGAAAATAAAAAATGATGGAGGGTTGTGAGTCAATATGGCAGTGCGAGGTTCATTTCTGAACAGATGGGAGAGCTTTTTGGCTAAAACAGGGTCTTTCCCAAAGATTTGAGGAAAATGGTATTTTGCATTTATGTGTGATTAAACTTTTTAGAAGTATGATTTTGATGCCCATTCATTCCCTTTTTCACTTGACTTTTATTTTTGGGTCATACCCAAATCACTCTGAGATTGCTCGCGGTGGTGTCCTAGGGGGTGAGGGAGGACCTTAAAATGATTGGGATCAAACTCCAGCCTCCTGCATGTAAAACATGCACATTAGTTCTTTCAGCTATCTCCCTGGGGTCTGCCTTTTATTTTTAGTTATTGAAGAAATGTTTTTTTGAGGGCCAGATGCTGGGTGCTGGGAATATAAAAACAAACAAAAAAGCTAGTTCTTCCCTACACAGTGACCACCCAGAGGGAAGGTATATATAAACCAATAATCACAGGAGCAAAAACAAATGACCAAAGATGATAGCAGGTTTGTCAGTGGGGTGGACACCGAGGTGGAGAGGATAAGATGAGACACCTGGTGACATGTACCAGAGTCAGTGAGGGGACTCAGGCATGATTTCTGGGAACAGAAATCCAGACTGGGATTCTGCAGAAGGACAAGGCTGGGCAATGTTAGGTACCTGAGAGCTAGACTGAAGCCAGGATAGATTTCCTGACCTCCTCAATGCACTAGGCCTCAGTTTCGATTCTGAAAAAAGCATAGTTTCAGAAATTAGGCAATCTTCTGCAGACCCACTGGGCATGATCTGGAAAGTCCATGGGTCTAGCTGATAAGCCTAACCAATCCCCTTGCAGCTTTGGTTGTACCAAAAATAGAAGCAATATATATTAGTACGACAGCTTATGTAACCAAACCCTATATAAACTGCTTGCACTTGAAGGTTGGGGTCGCTATCAAGAGATCACTTTGTGGATGAGATAGTTGACCCCAGTTAACTGGAATAAAACTTCTTTGCACTTGCATTACTGTCTCTCTGACTCTGTGTCCATTCATGCTGTGAACCCAAAACCCAGCTACAACAGGGGCACTTGACTCTTAAAAATCTGATCACCTCGTTTGTTTTCTATCCAGAGAAAGGACTGAAAAACATCAGAAAATCAAGGCCTGGGGATGGAGTGCACTGCCTGGCATGTGAAGCCCTGGGTTCTATTCTTGGTCCTTGAGAGAGAGGCTTCAGAAAAGCCAGCAGAAGATGCTTCACAGGAGTGGAGTAGGATTCAGGGAGCCCCTGAGTTCTACCCATTGGAGCCAAAGCATGGAAACATGGAGTAGGGATTATGATTATATTACATTATATTATAATGTAGTAGGCAACATTACCTACTAGATTCTGGCTGGTAACACTTTCTTCAGTGGAAAATGTTGAGGAACGAGGAGATTCCACTAGGGCAACTCAGGGAACAAGATGTAATTCCAGCTCTTGGTAGGAGAAGGAGCCTTGCACAGCATAGACACAATGAAAAGTTGTAGGTGTGGGGGAGTGAGGGGTGACTGCTTGAGAAAGTGGATGACAGACAAACATCTCTGGGGACTTGTACTATGAGACTCTTCTTATTTTATACTTCCCTTTGTTCATTTCTTTTGAACAAAGGGACCAAAATTAATGTATAAATTTTAAACACACACACACATACGTCTGATAAAGTAGTGACTGGATAAAAATCCTTTTGGGCAAAAACAGACAAAGACAGTGATGGAACAGGTGTATACCTTCATCAATCTCTCTACTCACCCAATGGTGATGTCAAAAATGTTGCTCCCAACAGAGCTAGACACAGCCATGTCTCCAAGCCCCTTCCGGGCCACGATGACACTGGTGATCAGATCAGGGATGGATGTCCCTGCAGCCAAGATGGTCAGACCCATAATTTCTTCACTAATGCCAATTGTCTCTCCAACCTAGAAGTGGTGCAGAGATCAATGTGTGAGTCACACAAGCATCAGCACTATAAACACTTCAAGTAGCACCTTCATTATAGGTTCCTTCTCTGTGTTATGCTGAGATGATACAGAGGAACAAATAAAGAGGAGCCACAATTATACACAGAGGTGGTTATACTTCAGCGGTATGCCGACGCAAGAGATCAGTAAAGGCCATTTGAGGATTTGACAGATAATCTTCCGAAGATATAAGGAGGTCTAGCACGCAGCTCTTGGAGAGTGGAAGACCAGAGTTACAAAAGTAAGTAATTCCAGACCACTGGCTCAGGGCCGACTGCCTGACAATGGCAGACTTGCCCTTGAATTACCATTGAGGGTTACCTTTGGGGACACTGTCTTGATGGACTAATGTGTAGGGTCCCTAATTTGACCTTAATATCGCAAACTGAGTCACTTGTCTGGTGCCATCTTCTCACTTATGCTGAGGGACAGATTGTAAATACAGGTTTTCATTATTCCTGACATTTGCAAAATAAAGATTCATGGGTGCAGTAAGATTGTACAGGGGCTAAGGCACTCACATTGCATGCAACTAACCCCAGTGTAGTCCCACACCTGTATAGAAATCAAAAGGTCCTTCCCATTCTGGTCAAGCAGGGGCAGTAAAATACTCTCAGAAAAGTGAGATTGGTCAGAATAAAATTCTTGACATAGATAGTTTTCTTTTTCTTTTTCTTTTTTTTATTATTATTAGTGAAACACCATGAGGTACGGTTGTAGATTTACAATTTTTTTGTGCTTGGGTTTCGATTATACAATGATCAAATACCCATCCCTCCACCAGTGCTCATTTTCCACCACGATGGATAATATCCCTCCCACCCCCATCCCTCCCATCCCACCTTGCCTCTGTGGCAGGGCAATCCCTTGTGTTCTCTCTCTCCTTTGGGTGTTGTGGTCTGCAAAAGAGGCTTTGAGTGGCAAACATATTCAGTCCATAGTCTACTTTCAACATGCATCTCCCCTCCTGGGAGGATCCTCCAAACACCCTTTATTTGGTGCTCCCTTCTCTATCTGAGCTGCCCTTTCCCCTAGAATGCCTGGCTGGCCTCTGAGCTATGGAGTAATCCTCCTGGTGCGGATCTCAGCTATTCTTGGATATTAATCTCATATTTTGTTACTTTATATTCCCCAGATGAATGCAATCTTTCTATGTATGTCCCTCTCTTTCTGACTCATTTCACTTAGCATGATACTTTCCATGTTGTACCACTCGTGACATACAAAGTTTTTCAAGGGGACAGCGAGTAGGGCATTTGCCTTGCAAGTGGTCAATCTGGGTTCAATTCCTGGCATTCCATATGGTCCCCTGAGCACTGCCAGGAGTGCAGAGCCAGAAGTAACACCTGAGCATCACCGGGTGTGTACCCTCCCTCCTCTGCCCCCCCCCCCCCCAGTCTCTCAAAGAGAATGTGAATAAAGGTCTGTAAGTGTATGGAAATTCATTTTTTCCAGCACCATTTGTTCAATCTAACTTTACATATGGAGTTCTTGGTGAAATTTCTTTAATTCAGATTGCTACATTCTATTTACATTAACAAGAGGAAGAAATTTCAGATTACATTAAACAGAGGCTGCAAGTGGGCAGGTTGGAACTTAGACTATTTATAATAGAGATTAAATGCTTGAGTTTTGGAGTTGCAGAGTTCTGGCTTAAATCTCAGTATTGATATTTACTGGTGATATGGTCTTGGATAATTTTGTTATCAGCTCTTAGCTTAACTTCTTTACCTATAATAGTACCTCCTTCTAGGGTTTTTTTGTTACGTTTTGGCGTAACATCCAGCAGTGCTTGAGGGACCATATGTAGTGTTGCCAATCAACAAAGTGTCACGGCCAAAGTGACCTCATGCAAGGCAAGTGCTTTACTTTCTGAACTATCTCTTAGGTCTCCTTCTAGGGTTTTCAGGGTCAAGATTAGAAGGACAAAGGGATGCGAATTGCTTTCCATGTAGTGCATATTCAATCAGTAATAGCTACCCATACCATCTTTGCCATCTTATTTCACTCATGTTTTGCAACAAACAATTTCTGAGGTATTTTTTTCTTGTGATGGGCAAGATGGCTGGTATTAAGTTAAATGTGATAACAGTGGGATGTATCATGGTTTATTATAAATCAAAGTTCAAGGTGGGTATGGTGTGCCAGCAGGTCAATCTGTACCTGTGAGGTGAGTGCATCAGCAGCCTGATGGCACCATCAGACTTTCAGACCCCCAAATTGCTGCTGTGCCTTTGGCCAGACCCCAAAAACTTGGGGCAAAGTTTGCCAAGAAAGTAAATGGCCAAAAGTCAGGTATGCGGAAGACACACCCACAAACCACCTCTGGCTCAGCTATATAATTGGAGGCATGGCCTCTCTGGTTCCTGATTGAACTGCTTAATGGCCATGATCCCAGAGTCTCAGAAATGAATCTCGGAACCCAAAGGCTTTTGGCAGAAATGTGTCCTGTTCCTGCAGTAGGTTACTGGTGCTGGGCCGCTCCAGGTGGGAATAGGTTTTGTGCCTTGGCCTGTTCTCCCTGGCGGTCCGGTGACCGCCATCCTTCAGAGATCACTGGACAGTCAGGTTTGGGCCTGCAGTGACGAGACACGCGGGGCCTCACCAGATAGGGGTGGAACAGGCCCTTTGCTCCCCATCCCAACGAGATCCCGAGTCGCCGCCTACAAACGGCCTCTCTGGCTACTGATCAAGTTGATTAACGGCCATTATCCCAGAGACTTAGAAACAAATCTCGAAACCCAGCAGCTTTTGGCAGAAATGCATCTGGACCGCATTCAAGGTGGCTGCCGCCTCAGAGCTTATTAGAAAGCCAGGTATGAGCCGGCGGTGATGGGGCAACTGCAGTCTCGTGGGAAGGGGGGTGGTATGGGCTTGTCCTTCACACCCAATCGAGGTCATGAATTGCCCCCTACAAATGGCTCTCTGTCACAGCCATGGCTCCAGAGGCAAAAGGTCTTAATCCAGAGCCCGGCAGCTTGTGGTAGAAAAGTGAATTGACCATGTGTTAAACTACGGCGCCATGCCTCCCCAGGAGGGAAAGGGTGTTGCTCTCTTCCACCTTTTTCCATCCCCAGCAGCAAGGTGGCCACCACCTCACAGCTTATAGGAAAGCCAGGTATGAGCCGGCGGTGATGGGGCAACTGCAGTCTCATGGGAAGGAGGGTGGTACGGGCTCATCCTTCACGCCCTACCGAGGTCACAATTTGCCCCCCACGAGCGGCTCTCTGGCATGGCCATGGCTCCAGAGGCAAAAGGACCTAGTCCAGAGCCCGGCAGCTTAGGGCAGAAAAGTGAATGTTCCATGTGTTAAAATATGGTGCCATGCCTCCCCGGGAGGGAAAGGGTGTTGCTCCCTTCCGCCTTTTCCACTCCCAGCAGCAAGGTGGCCGCTGCCTCAGAGCTTATAGGAAAGCCAGCTATGAGCCGGTGGTGACAGGGCAACTACAATCTCATGGAAGGGGAGGTGGTATCGGCTTGTCCTTCATGCCCTACCAAGGTCACGAGTTGCCCCCATGAATGGCTCTCCGGCACAGCCATAACACCAGACACACAGAAACCAATCTCGCAATTATCTGACTCTTTGAAGAAATCCAAAATCATTATATGATTCTCATAACCAGCTATAGAAAACAAAGTACTTCACAATGCCTTTTCAGCAATTCTGATTGTTGGGGGGAAATTCTAAACAATAATGCTGCATCTTTTGTTGAAATAATGAATGTAATCAATGTAGAGAAGAGTTAAGTAGAATTCATCTGCCTCACAGGCATTAGGAGGGGTGGGAGGGGGGTATATTGGGGTTCTTGGTGGTGAAAAATGAGTACTGGTGAAGGGAAAGGTGTTTGATAATTGTATGACCAAGACTTAAACCTGAAAGCTTTGTGACTTTTCCCACAGTGATTCAATAAATAAATATAAGAAGAAAAAACATAAATAAAATTATGAAAAAAAAAGTAAGGTGGAGTTCAGGCCCAGTTCAATCCAGCTAAATCAGTGGCTGAATAAATAGCAGACTCCTATATAAAAAAAATCCAAGTTCAAGAAAGACATTATTTTGTCTCCAGGTCCCTTTCTGAGAGTCAGTTTGAAAGACTGATGAGAGCATGAGGTATGTGATTATCCAAGCGAAAGTGAGTGCCATAGAGTCAGACAAAACCTTAACATCCCAAGTCTAGGGTGGCCTGCTTTAGGATGCGGGTGGCAGAGGCAATGCTGATTTCACATTATAGGAAAAGTCTGGGAAATATAGCAAACAAAGGAAATTGAAGCACATTTCTTCAGTTCTGGACTCCATAAGGTGTCTTGTCAGAATGAATGCTGTGTGGCAGCTACAGACAGCAAACACAGAGGTAAAACATTTGGCAACTAAGAAAAATGAGGCGATAGTTTTAGTATTAAAATCTTACCTGATGTGCCCACCACACCATCAAGTAAGAAAACACTGCAATCCAGGTGATGGCGCCAAAGAACGTGATGGGAAAAAACTTTCTTGAAGCCTGGAAAAGAACAGGGAAAGGGCAAGAGGGTCAGTGCTATTAGCAGAGCAGGTATCTGAGGGTCCAAAGAAAAATCCATGAATACAACTATTTCCCATTGCCACTGTCTGTGTTCTTGGTAGGATTAGCAATGTAAAGGCCACCCCTAGTCAAGTTGGCACAGTAAGACTCTCTCTTGGGAATGTGACATTGATCAGAACCAAATCACTGCAAAATTAGTTCTGAGTTGGAAGTCTGTTAATGAGAATGAGAATGAGAATTCTCACTGCTGGATGATCAGATGTTCTTGGTTCCTATCTTTCCAACTTCTGGTTGACCAGTTTTAAGACTTTGATCTGCCTCATTCCCCACCCCCATCCCCCTCACTCCCTTTTTTTTCTCTTTTTTTAAAATGTAGAATCATCCACTTGTGTTGCATCAATTATATAAAACTTATGTGATCAGTTTTCTTCATCAGGAAACAAGATTGATAAATAGATTCAAATAGATTGTTTTGTTTTACAGTTCCGGACTAATCAGGAAAAATAACATAGAAGTCACTGCCACTATTTCTTTAGATTTCTAATGATGGTCAGTCTGGGACGCTGTTGGGTTTGTTTTGAGGGTCACATCTGATGGTGTTCAAAGGGGTATTCCTATTTCTAGCTTGGGGTTTACTCCTGGCAGTGCCTGTGAGGCCCTGTGGTGCCAGGGATAAAATCCAACTCTCTTGCATGGAAAGCATGTGCTTAGTCCCTTGAACTATTTCTATGGCCTGAGTCTGGGACATGTGAAATACATATGTAGACAGGCATAGACTGAGATGGATGGCTGGCCATACTGCTTTTCACTTGGGATTCCAGAGTAGACTCTCTTGGGTAGGCTTCTCTCCAGTGCTCTGCTCCTAACAATGTCACTGTCACTGTCCTCCTATTGTTCATCGATTTGCTTGAGCGGGCCCAGTAACATCTCCATCATGAGACTTTGTTGTTACTGTGTTTGGCATATCGAATACATCATGGGTAGCTTGTCAGGCTTTGCCGTGCGGGAGAGATACTCTTGGTAGCTGGCCGGGCTCTCTGAGAGGGGTGGAGGAATCAAACTTGGGTTGGCCATGTTGGCCGCTTGCAAGGCAAACTCCCTAACTGCTGTGCTATCGCTCCAGCCCTAACAATATCATACCTAATTCGCTCGTCTAGTATTGGATCTTAGGTTTACACAGTAAATATTTCAATGTAAACATTTTTGAAGTTTCCTTTAAATATCAACTACTCAAAATCAGATACCCCAAAATGCTGTGTTTCCTACCCAACCCCACTCCAGGAAAATCTCAATTTGTACTGCAGTATGTTATGTTGATACCCTTTGTTGCAAAAATCAAGCTCCTTTAAAAGATGCTCAGATAGCAGAATGTTCTCAGAGATTCTTTTCCTTATGACTGCCTTTTGTTTCAAACACTTTTCGTTTTAACACTTTTCACATTCAGAAACAAACTTATTTTTCTCCTTGATAATGCCATTCAATTCTGTCCAGAGAAATGAATCCTGCAGCCAATTTTGATAAAGGCTCTCTCAATTGTCTGAACGGCTGACCTTGGGCATTCATGGAGAACACTTCTGTCATGGCTTTTAAAGGGGATCATTAGAAGGAAAAGAGAGGCTTTTACATAGTAATCTTTGGAATATTCCTAAAGATGAACATAATTTGTATCACTCCAGACCAAGTTTATAGAATCTTTACTAATTTCAAGTCTTTCATATGTATTTTTCTTATCATTCATTTGGTTCTTATGAATTTCACAATAGCTCTCTCTCTCTCACTCTCTCTCTCTCTCTCTTGCACACACACACATATATACACACCCTTTTTCTCTCTCTCTTAGAGAAATCATAGCTGGCTATGCTAGGGTGCCACCAGGACCATATTGGGCTGTTCTGTTGTGAAGCATGTAGTACTGGCTAGCAAATTCAGACCTTGCATATGATTGGCATGTGTTCTTCCACTTGAACTATCTCCTTAGCCAGAATTTTTCTTCTTGAATGATTCTTTTTAAATAATTTTTTAGTGGGTATTCATTAGCCATAGTATTAGGCAGACCAGTGGACTTGATTCATATTGGGAAGGTAATAAGGTTATAACCTTATTCTCAGTTGCTTCCCTCCCATCCTTTCCCTTCCTAACTTGCATTGGGTTCATGCTAGGCAGGTGTTTTAACTCCTGCACTACCAAAACAAAAGGTTAGAAGCACTTTCTCTGTGAATCTTTATTATTAACTAAGGCATTAACTAGGGACTAATTACCTACTCTTGAATATAAGACTAGATATTAGAGATTAACCTAGACAGTAAAGTCAAAGCTATTCCTTCCTGAGCATGATGCATGTGCTCCTAAGATCTAGGTGATGTCAACTCTTTTCTAAAGAAAAATGGGCCAATAATGTTCAAAATATACCTTACCACAGACATTAATGATTGGCATCATAATAATACTAATCTTGGTTCTGAGTGCCAGAAACTGTATGAAGCATCAGGGACTGACATTCTAGCTGCAAGGCCATCTGCCACACACAACCTCGCCCAGTGTCCTGCTTTTGGACGCCTCAACACTTCATGCATTAGTAATTTGATTAAGTGCTTCCCAACTGTTCTACCCACATAGTGGAGGTAATTTCTTCTTTCACTTTTTCTGAACTTTATCCTAATCTAGACTCTATAGTCTCAGCCCGGGGCTGGAGCGATAGCACAGCGGGTAGGGCGTTCGCCTTACAAGCGGCCAACATGGCCGACCCGAGTTCGATTCCTCTGCCCCTCTCGGAGAGCCTGGCAAGCTACCGAGAGTATTCGATATGCCAGACACAGTAACAACAAAGTCTCCAATGGAGACGTTACTGGGCCCGCTTGAGCAAATCGACGATCAACGGGAGGGCCTTTACCTTTTACCTTTTATAGTCTCAGCCCAAGCATCACTGCCCAGTGGCACCAGTGAGTTATTTAGCTACCAGGGAAGACCATCCTATAAGGTTTGTCTTTTCCTCCAATATCTGATGGATCAATTTGTGGCTAATTATGCTGGATTTTTCTGACATCTGCTGAGATGGAACTCATACCTATTAGCAAAAGCAAATTGCGTCTATGTGATGACTGGTTTATTCCCAATGTCATGGTTTACTTGTATGATTGACAGATAATGTGCTCATTAGAAGTTTTTAGTATATCAGAGAAATGTTTTCTTGACTTAAAAAAATGTTGCTGACATTAGCTGGTTACACAAATTGACCATGTCCTTATTGATTTAAATTCAACAAATAACACTTACATCTACTCTGTGCAAGTTTCTGAAGCTTATATATTTAACCCAGGATCCACAAGCAATCCAATCAAAGATTAAAAGTATGATCCTGGATTAATAGGACTGGTACTGAAATTCCTGTCCCCAATTACCGAGAGCAACATGTTCTGTGACAAATCACAAAAAAATATTTTTTTGAAAATTTTATGAATATCAAGGTGTGTAGCAAAGTGACTGGCACATAGTATGTGCTCCAATATTAATGGCGGTTGTTGCTTCTTCTGTTTTTTGAGTGATCAGGAAACTTGGGTGCTGAAAGTTATTGTGAAGATTAGTCATAGAAACCTGACCTTGGTTTCTTACCCTCTGGGTATGCCTGGACACACCTCTAAACCTCTGATTTTTCATGCATGGAGAGCTGTGCTTGCCACTTGGAAGACACAAAACATACCTGGTGAATGGATCAACTGATAGTCTAAAATATAAAATCCTTGCTGGAAGGTAGCAACACAATGGGATAAATGCCACAACTGAGTTGGTGATAGGGGGCTTGACAGGGAGGGGCATTTGGGTGTTTTAGGGAGGGATTTGGGGTACACTGGTGTGGAATTATGTTCACAGGAAACTGTCATTAACATTATCACAAAATCGCAAAACCCCAAGCAATAAAAAATTAACTCCTCCAATTCCTGCCAAAACCAAAAATCATTGCCAGAATTCTCAGATACATTTCTAACTTTGATGAGTATCTGAGGTGTGTTCTTTTTTAGTAATAATACCCATCCTCAGAGCATGAAAGCCTATAATTTTGGGGTCTATACTTCTTTAATTATTTTCTATATTCATCAAGAACATGTTCCTCATTAAGGCTTACATTTTAGTTTTTCTTTTTACTCTTAAGACAAAACCATTAATTTAAGAAAAGCCTAAAAGTGAAGTCCATATTAATTATCTGGGTAGGAAATGTGCATAATTCAACAAACACTGTCATGTAATTTGCATACAAATGAAGTGGAAATAACAAGTAGGAGTACTATTTATTCTAAAACTAGATATATATATTAAAAAAGAAAATCGTGTTTTCTTGTAATTATTGTCAAGGTCTGGGATGTTTATCTTCATGGATAATTCAAAAACTATGGAGAAAACAGCTGCCGGGCTCAAAGCAGAAGCAAATCAGTTAATAATTTCTCCTTTTCTTTCTTTGGGTTCAAGATGCACTTGTATTCCACAATGACTGTGGCAGACTGCAAAACTAGCCACAGCATTTTGCAATTTCTTTCACCACAAGGAAGGATCTTTTTCCTCATTTTGAGAATCAGAGCTAGCCCTATAACTCACTTTAACCAACGGTATGTGGTGGGGTATCAGTATGAACATTAGATTTCAAGAGAACTTTGTAAAAGCTTTCATTCTGGCAGCCTTTGAAACTTGTGCATCATGTGAATAAAGCCAGGCTAGGGATTAAGGATACTTAAGTGTAAGCGGTCATGTGAGGGAGCAGAGATAAGCTATTCCTTCTGAGAGAGCTATGCCAACTAGTTCCCAGCCCTTTTTTTTTCTGGCTTTTTTTTTGTGGTTCTAACCTGGCGATGCTCAGGGGTTACTCCTGGCTTTGCACTCAGGGATTACTCCTGGAGGTTCTCAGGGGACCATATGGGATGCTTGGAATCGAACCCGGGTTGACCACATGCAAGGCAAACGCCCTACCCACTGTACTATCACTCCAGCCCTGTTCTCAGCCTTATAAGTGAAGAAATTTCCAGATGAGCCTGGCCCAAATAGTCAATTAATAGAATGATAGGTTAAACAATGTTTTTATGCAGCTACTTTTTTGAGGTGATGTGTTACTCAGAAAAAGGTAACTGACCCAAAATCAAGTTCAACAAAGCTCTGGGCTAAGCAAAATCACGAAGCTACTTCATGGCTTTGAACTATCCAGTATAATGTCTTCATTCTGGTATTTCACATCTGCAAAGGATAACCATATAATTCATCTTCCAAATAAGTATGTTTGGAGACTACTGGGTCATTTAATGTTTGCAGTATTGATGGTTTTCTTTATGCTTCTCTGAATCACGGAATGTCTCATGGGTAACAGGCAATCTAGACTTCATCCATCTCTGTGTTTCAAAGTGGAGGAGCCAACATCAACTAGAGCACTTGAAATCAAAGTAACTACTGCCATGGCAGAGTCCTTATTTTCACCAAGGAGTTGCTGTGGCGTCCTTTGACCTCTAATAGCATCCTGACCTTCCAGTTCTGATCACATAAAGGACAACACTTTGGCAGCCCATACTCTAAGAATTCCACCCAATTCTGAGAGTCCAGGAATTGGAATTATTGACATCTCCCTTTCTTTCACCTCTTTTCTGATTGCCTCAGCTGTTGTGTCACCTCTTCTTATTATCAGTCACCTCTCTCAATTTGGGGTCATATCTCCCATTGATATGACGATAGATGTCTCAGATTTTTCCAATTTTTCTCTGAGGGGTCTAAACAAAAGCAGTGAATCAAACAGCAGAGCAAGAGTGGAGCGACAGTGTGTGCATGTGAAAGAGAGAATATGCAGTGCACACATCACAAAAACGTCAATGTGATGTAAGTCAACCAAAAACCATCACATTTCAGTGAACTGACTGTAGGCTGGCTTTCAGGAATCCAGGCCTTTGGAATGAGCAGATGCTCTGCATTTGCATCCTGAATAATAAAACCTAAATATTGCTTTAAGAGAGACAAAACTATTACCAGTGTGCTTTCACAGACACTCTAATGTCAGAAGTCCTTATATGAGAGAACACTTTCTTGGTCTGACTAGATTTGGCTCAGCACTGGACTAGACTATTTATAGATCAAGCTAATGGGACAGAAATTTTCTTTTGTATTTTTCAAGTGAGGAAAGTGCAATCATCCCGGGGCTCTTGAAAACTCATGCTAAATTATGCTGGCTGTTACCCCAGTAGTCTATTTCAAATGCTTTTAGAAAGGATTTACAGATTTCCACTTTCTGGCATTAGCAAATAGAAAATGGCTCCTGAGATTCTGAAACATAGGTAATTGAAAATAGTTATGCAAGTCTCATAGTAGTTACATTTTTGGTGAATGAATATGTGCATTTAGGGCCATAATAAAAATGTAGAGCTGTTTCTTTTTTCATTACTTCTTTCACCCTTTTGTGGTCCTCGAATCCAGTGAAAACCACACTGAGAGGAGATATTCTTTCGTTTTGATCTACACTTAGGCTTTACTTTCCTGATCATAAATGCTTTTGTGGTCATGGCACCGATTAGATTAAAGGAATAGTAATAATGTATATTATAGTAATCATCATAATAATACTAATGTAAGGAAAAGATCAGACATGTAGGATTTATACTACATAAATACATTTGTTTAAATTATTCTTTCAATTGAATGAATAATTCATATACACAAATATTCCACAAATTGAGAGCTTCTTCCCTGTCTTAGAACTTCACTCCGGGGCTGGAGAGGTAGCACAGCGGGTAGGGCGTTTGCCTTGCATGAGGCTGACCCAGGTTCTATTCCCAGCATCCCATATGGTCCCCTGAGCACCGCCAGGATGAACAGAGAACATGGAAGGGGCGGTGCGACTTCTGAGACTGGACCAAAGCATCCAAGATTCCTTAGTATCTGTGTGCACTCTTCCTTTGGGCCTTGATAGCTCTGTAAGAGACTGAACTGTCTACATAGGCTACCAGGCTTTGACAGAGCCAGTAGATGATTCTGGTTGACCCAATCTTAGCATCCCTGCAGTCCAGATTCACCCATGAAGAAACATCCTGATGATTCCTCTTTCAAAATATGATGATTCAAAATATGATGATTTCCTTTCAAAATAATTAGATGCAGATAATATGTAGATAATATGTAGTATCTACATACAGCTGGCCCTTGAACAATGCAGTGTCTAAGGGTGCCTATTTCCCATCTCTTCAGAGTCAAAACTTTGTATTTAAATTTGAATTCTTCCGAAAAATATCTACTAAGCGTCTACTACAGACCAGAAGGTCACTGATGAACTCATGGAGGAACAGACTGCATTTTTTTTTAACTTTTTGGATCACATCCATCGATGCTCAGGGGTTACGCCTGGCTCTGCACTCAGGAATTACTTCTGACAGTGCTCAGGAGACCATATGGGATGTTGGGGATTAAACTTGGATCAGTCATGTGCAAGGCAAATGCCCTACTTGCTATAGTATTGCTCCTGCCTCAGACACTGCATTCTTATAAGAGAGAAAAATATCTTTATGAAGATAATAAGAGAAAATATACTGCTTGTATTGAATTTTTACTCACTGATATGGAGCGATAGCACAGCAGGTAGGGCCTTTGCCTTGCACGTGGCCGACCTGGCTGACCCAGGTTCGATTTCTCGGAGAGTCTGGCAAGCTTCCGAGAGTATCTCACCCTCACAGCAAAGCCTGGCAAGCTACCCGTAAAGTATTCGGTATGCCAAACACAGTAACAAGTGTCACAATGGAGATGTTACTGGGCCCGCTAGAGCAAATCGATGGGAGGACAGTGATAGTGACAGTGACATAGTCTGTCTACAAGACCCCTGTATAGAAGTGGACCTGTGCGAAACAAGCCCATCTCATTCAAGGGTCAACGACTGTGCTTCTTAGAAGGAAATAATTTCAGAATTGCTTTACTCACAGGCTTGCGTACGTCAGGTAAGGTAATCCAGAGAGGAAACACGATGGGGAACACAATCAGGAAGGTGACTTGCTTATGGGTGGTGGAAGGCCAGGCCAGGCTCAGAGGCTGGTCATCCTCCTCTTCCCCTGTTTCTGTGGTCTATGAGAGAGAGATAGAGAGAGAGCGAGCGAGAGTGTGAGAGTGAGAGAGCGAGAGAGCGAGACAGAGAGAGAGAAGAGAATAAACAATAACAATAAGGAGACAATCCCACTGACTACAGAGTAAGAGAGTAAGCTCCCAACCATAACAGGATTTTATTTTCTGGGGTGAGCTTCATTCATTAACTTTGTGCTGCCGAAGCAAGCACTCCTTCATTTACTTGGAAAGTTAGTGAGAGAATCTCATCTGTTCCCGTCCACATCCCAAGAACAGCTCTGCACTGCTTAGCCGTGAGAACTCAAGAACTTTCTTTTGGTTCTTTGATCCATGAATTTGTGAGAAACCAGAACCAGATCTGCAGAGCAAGAGATCCAAGAGCAAAATGCCCACCTTCTATTCCTCCTCCCTTCTACTTAAGGACAAAGTCACAGAATCCAAAATCTGTGGGAAGGATTTAAGAAAAAATTTTAAAATTGTGGATCACAAATCATTTTTAGATTCTGTGTGTGTACATGTATCTCTGGGTACCATAGGGAGAGTATGAGAGTGAGAAAAGGGAGTGGAAAAGGGTCATGCGGATTGTGGGACTCGCACTAGAACTCTGCTGGTGTGGCTAGTGAGCTTCACACATGTAAGAGGATGAAGGCCAGACTTCCCCAATAATCAACAAAATCAAAACTCAAAAGATTAAATACAGAACATACAACATCTTAGAGCATGACTGCAGTGTAAGAGAAAGTAACCACTAGGAACAATTCAATAAGCACACAGCTCCCTTTCTCTAGTCTGGGACTGTTAAGCCCAGGGGTTACTGTGTGGTTGTGAATTTTCAACCTAATTAATCACTTTGCTCAATGCTAAACCATTTTACTGACAGTCAAGGTCTTATTATGCAAACATATGCCCCTTTGTCCTGGAAACTGGAGAGATGTGCAGCAAGACCTGAACACAGGTGCCGGCAGCATAAAGCTTTAGAGTTGGGGGTCGGGGGTGGTGGTGGTGGTGGGGAGACTTCAGAGTTTCTAACTTGGCAGCAAGCGGCCAGGCCTTTCATTGCCATCCGCTGGAGTCTGCGGCTTCTGAAGTCCCAGACCAAGAAAAGCAGAAGGCAGATCCGGGCCCGGCAGGATGACCATTAGCCTGTCAGATGGGCCCTCGAAGCCTCCAAAACAGCACCCAAGACAGCATCAATCACACCCTCCCTTACTTGTTTAAAAACGAAAGTGCAGCAGCGGGACTAAGCATCAGATCTAAAAATATCAAGAGGAACTTTTCCATAGAAGCTTCCTTTGGAGATCATATAAATAAGCCGCTGAGGCTTCACAAAGCTCCTGCCCCCTGTGGATGTGGCTTCCAGCCGACACACACTATTTCAAGACACTGTGCTGACTCCCACCAGCCTCTTGCTCCCCACAGAGGGGCAGGTGGGGCAGGCTCTGTCAGGGTAGATGGTGGGAAGGTGGGCAGATGGGGTGGAGGAGTAGGACTCAGGGGTCAGGCTGAGGTGAGGTCTCACCCGAAGCCATGTTGTTTGTTCTTTTAATCATTTAAGCTCTAGCATGGACAAAAGGATTTGTAGCAGTTAACACAATCACCCACATCCTCTCTCCAGGAGTTAAAATTAAAAACAATAATAAAGGAATCCTAAGCCCTGAAAAAGATGGGTAATAAAAGGTCCCCCCCCCCCCCACCCTTTGGGCATCTGTCCTTGGCAGTGGGTAAAAGAGTTTATAAACAGCAAATAAAAGGGAATTCAGAGGATTAGATAATAAACAGGAATTAGGAAGTTGGCCCAGTTTATTTGGGTCATCTGGAGCCTCATTAAATACACTCCTCACCATCTCCAGCTTCGGGGCTCGAGCAATAACAGAGCGGGTAGGGTATTTGCCTTGTACGTGGCCAACCCAGGTTCGATTCCCAGCATCCCATATGGTCTCTCTAGCACCGCCCGGAGTAATTCCTGAGAGCAGAGCCAGGAGTAACCCCTGTGCATCGCTGGGTGTGACCCGAAAAGGAAAAAACAAAACCAAACCATCTCCAGCTTCACTCTGCAATATGTTGGAGGAAAAGATGTAAAACTCAGTAACTTAAATTTCTACCTTGGGAAACTGGAACAGAAAGAGCAAATTAAATCCAAAGTCAGCAGAAGCAAATAAATAAATAAATTAGAGGTGAAATCCATGAAATTAAAACACGAAATTTAATAGCCAAAGTCCACAAAACTAAGAGGCAGTTTCAGTGGCTTCCTGGGATTCCCTCATTGCTTTCTCTGCTCCATCCCAAAGGTATCCATTCTCTTGAAACTTGGGAGCACTGCCCGGGTCTTCTTCCCAGCTTCAGTGAGCTCTGCCCAGGAGATGGAGCAGATGTAGGGTCCATCATTGGCCACGGAGCTCACTGGCCTCCTTGGGTGCTGGCCAGAATATGAATAATCTCTTTGGAATGGGGTCAGTGTGGATTAGGGAGAGAGATATACTATAACTGTTCAGACAAGATATGATCTTTCTGGTTTAACCCAAAAGAATGACTTTCTCCTCTCCCTCCAGAGAACATCTCAGGAATGGGGAGGGGCATGGGGTAGTGAAGACACTGTGCCATTTCTAATAAGCACCCTCTCGAAGAAGAGAGAGGTGGTCTTCTGTGAGCAGAGGATTCCAGCTGTACTAGGGAAACAGCGCCTACTTTGCCCACTCTTGTCCTCAAGTTCAATCCCTAGCACTGCGAAAACTATATGGGAAGGCCCATAAAGCTGATCTGATGAGTTCATCAACACTCCCCCCACAATCTGGCCCCCAGTGCCTTCAGCAACCTAGCGGCTTCTCTCTAAGCTAACCTTTTTTTTTTTCTGAGAACAAACAAAAGCAACTCTTTATGACTCATATCATTTTAATGACACCAACAGATGGTGACATTTCATCAATAACCCTTCTGCTTATAACCTACGGATTAGTTTCTTTCTCCATCTGCCAAAGTCACCAGGCAGGCAGTGCCACTAGCAAATAGCAGAAAGTAATTGTCTGTTTAGATGCATAAGCTCTAAACACATGAATGTCCAATGCAAACAATTAGCTATATTGTACGGCTTCCAAAAGCTGCATTTGAGTGGCTGTTGCTAAGAGAAGAGACTGTATCTGAGGCTGTGAAATAGAGTTCGCCGTGGGAAATTCACCTCCTGGGCATTGAGTCCTACTCAAGAGTAAGTAGAAGTACAGGAGCAAAGATCCTTGGGTGGAGTCCAGAAGTATCCCAGGAGGAAGGTGGTCAGCCAATTTTAGGGGAAATACTCTGTCTTCTTGCCAAGTGCAATCTCACTATGGTTCAATGGATGACAGCTTGCAAGCTGGTTAGAAAAGTGGAGGGAAAAAAAAAGTGTTCCAAGTCAGGGGCCTGGTTTGCCCTGCCCAAGCTGGGGCTGCTGCCACCTTCATTAGTCTTAGCCCTGGGGAGAGGCTGCTGAGATTACAGCAACAATTTTCCAACTTTTCCTGGAGTTGGGCCATCTTGGCTTTGACCTTGCAGGAATCCGTTCTGAACTCCTAGAACTCTTCAGTGGAAAGTTCATAGAAAAGAAAATGATGCAGAAACAACATAAATGATTTTTGACACAAGGAATGAATAGTTTGGTAACAGCTGGGGTCTCTATATGTATTAGAATTTTATAAAACCAGTGCCAGTGAAGATGAACTTAATAAGACCTTGCAATTTTTCTTTCTTTATTTTCTTTTGGGTTATACAGAGTGGATACTTAGGAGCACTCCTAGCATAGAGCTTAGAGCTCACTCTTGGTGTTTCTGTGGGGACCAGGAAATGCCAGGAATTGAACCCAGATCCTCCTGCAGGTAAAGCATTTGCTCCAGCCCCTGGAGCTATTTCTCTAGCTTCATGCAGTTTCTGATGTGGAAAATCTGAGACTACTTGAGTATTTGTGCTGGTGGCTGAACCCAGAAGGCATCAATACAGTGTGTGGGAAGAGTAGATGGGAGAGAATCAGGAATCCTGGTTCCTGTTTCTGACCACTAGCATGCATAGGTATTTACTGGGCACAATTAATTGGAAAGCAATGTACTAAGTTCCAGTACTCTTGACTCCAAGGACACTTGGATTTTAAAGATGAGACTGAACAAACAAATTTAGAGAATTGTTTATCAAGTAACAAGGATGTTGGCAGGAGAGGTGACAAGAGCTTCTGATGTTCTGTTAGTCTACTTGTTACGAGCTGAACTATAACTCCCCAATATATGTGAAAACTCTTGCTCTCAGTATTTCATAATGTGGCTTCTCTTTGATGAGGTGATTAAGTTCAATGACATTAGCATGAATACTAGTCCAATATGGGCATCCTTAAAATAAGAGGGGATCAGGACCCACAGAGATGCATGGAGGATGTTCATACACAGAGGAAAGACCCTGTGGGGACACAGAGAGAACACAGCCAGCTGCAACCTAAGGAGAAAAACCTCCAAGGAAACAGCCCAGCCAGCACCCAGTCTGACTGTGTGTGATACAGAAACCCAGGTCATCCATGTGTCCACACTGCCCTTTTGCTTTGGAATCAGAAGCCCCACTCTGATCAAGGTATGGAATGAAGACTGGCAGTCTCCATCTCAGCAAGGGCATCTGATGATGTTCTGGTGAGTGGGATGTAATATGAGGTATCCTTCGCAACTTCTGGGGTGCTTCTTTTAAAGGGTGGAGGTGTGTGCTTTATCACATTTTCCTTCTTCTTGCAAGCTGAATAGAGTCATTTTAACCAGCACTTGAAGAGCCAACTTGGACCATTAGATGAAGAAACAATAGGACTAGATCCAAGTTTCTGACTCTATTCAAATAGCTCTTCTAGTCCACAACTGCCTGTACTGACAGACATAAACCTCTACTTAATTCAGATAAGCTACTGCTATTTTGGATGCTGGGTTACTCACAGTGGAATCTTACTCTAAACTGTTCCAATGTCTTTTTGAGGAAACAAGTGAGAAATATCTTTTACCAGAAAAGAGTCA